GAGGTAGGTCAATTGGAGTGGGTCCGGTGTGCCAGGCATGCTGGCCCTGATGTGGGCCTTGACCAGCCTCTCAAAGCACTTCATGATGACTGGGGTGAATGCAACGGGGGAATAGTGATTTGGGCACGTCACCTTGTTTTTCTTGGGCACTGAGACGATGGTGGTCTCCTATAAGCAGGTCGGGACTGCCTGGGACAGGTATTGTACACACCCCATAATGACAAAGTGAAAACAGGTTTTTAGAAATTCTTGCACATTTATTAAAAATAAAAAACTGAAATACCTTATTTACATAATTATTCAGACCTTTTGCTATGAGTCTCGAAATTGAGCTCAGGTTCTTCCTGTTTCCATTGATTGTCCTTGAGATGTTTCTACGACTTGATTGGAGTCCACCTGTGGTAAATTCAATTGATTGGACATGATTTGGAAAGGCACACACCTGTCTATATAAGGTCCCACAGTTGACAGTGCATGTCAGAGCAACAACCAAGCCATGAGGTCGAAGGAATTGTCCGTAGAGCTCCGAGACAGGATTGTGTCGAGGCACAGATCTGGGGAAGGGTACCAGAAAATGTATGCAGCATTGAAGTTCTCCAAGAACACAGTGGCCTCCATCATTCCTAAATGGAAGAAGTTTAGAACCAACAAGACTCTTCCTAGAGCTGGCCGCACGGCCAAACTGAGCAATCGGAGGAGAAGGACCTTGGTCAGGGAGGTGACATTTATTGTGTCATGAATGTCATAGAGTGGTATAGTGAATGTTTTGGTGTAACCGTAGAAAAACCATTGGAGAAAGACATGAATGACTGAAGAGAAAGGTAAATGAAGGGCAAAATAAATTTAATAAATTAATTAGTGAATGCAGAGAAAGGTAAACGAAATAAAATGTAAAATAAATGAAGAAATGAATGAACGAGGACTTTTCATAAATATATTTTATTTCATAAACGATATCAGTACATTCAACGAATGATGATATACCATCATCATCAACATCTGTACAACTGAGAAAATACATAATATTTTAATACGGGATACATAGAGAACATTAAAACAATCCAAAATGTGGATCAAACTTATGGGGAAACGTTGAAAGTTCCATAACATCACCTGATACAAACACTATAAAATATATACCCTACAGTTCAAAAGTTTGGGGTCACTTAGAAATGTCCTTGTTTTCGAAAGAAAAGCAATTTTTTGGTGCATTAAAAATAACATCAACTTGATCAGAAATACAGTGTAGACATTGTTAACGTTGTAAATAGCTATTGTAGCTGGAAATGGCTGACTTTTAATGGAATATCTACATATCTAATAGCCTTCATTTCTCAGAACAAGAATAGACTGATGAGTTTCAGAAGAAAGTTATTTGTTTCTGGCCATTTTGAGCCTGTAATCGAACCCACAATTGCTGATGCTTCAGATACTCAACTAGTCTCAAGAAGGCCAGTTTTATTGCTTCTTTAATCAGCACAACAGTTTTCAGCTGTGCGAACATAATTGCAAAAGGGTTTTCTAATGATCAATTAGCCTTTTAAAACGATAAACTTGGATTAGCAAACACAACGTGCCATTGGAACACAGGACTGATGGTTGCTGATAATGGGCCTCTGTACGCCTATGTAGATATTCTATTAAAAATCAGCCGTTTCCAGCTACAATAGCCATTTACAACATTAACAATGTCTACACTGTATTTCTGATCAAGTTTATGTTATTTTAATGGACAACAAAATTGCTTTTCTTTCGAAAACAAGGACATTTCTAAGTGACCCCAAAACTTTTGAACGGTAGTGTAAATATATTTCCACTAGGTTTCTCTGCATGGGTGTTGTTGCTTCTATAGATTTCTCTTAATTTTTTATTTGACGGTGGTGTCCAATTGTTTGCAGTGAGTAAATGGAAAATGGTGGTAAAAAAATCTTTCATTGATGTTAATCAATAAGCATCTAAGGCATATATTTTTGAGTTTTGTAGAAGGCGTCCAATGTGTTTATTCACCTAAAGTGGCAAAAAGCTGCTTTTAAAACACAGAGTTGTCAGAGATTTTATAAAGATCATTTTTGAACTAGTCAGCTAGATTGTCAACCTGGGTCAACATCCTGGAAGGGATTTAGAGCTGGAATCCTTAATGGTGAAACTGCCACGTCCGTTTAGGATATTACAACAACAAAGAAGTTACTGCAAACAACGAACACCATTTTTCCCCCTTGGACATCATTTCACGTGCGATAGAAAAGCACAATATGTACTGAATTTTTGTTGTTGCTCCTCAGCTTGGCAACAAAGCTAAAACAATGATGTGGTGTGGTGGCCAGCGGCGCTGTCTCCCCGTACTGCGGATTCCATTTTTAAGTTCATTTAATTCAATAAAACAAAACAAAATATTCTGGGGATCAACAACATGTTCCCACATCCAGAGTGTTTAGTTCATATAGTCACATACTATAGGCTATTATTAAAGTGGCTGTCAAAATAAGTGCAAATTCATCTAGAAAAATATATATTATCTCATTATGTTAATTTGATACATTTTAAGCCACAGCAACTTAATTTAAAGGAAAATTCATTAAATTAGATTATAATTACATATAGTCAAATACACATATATTATTTATTTCATTCATACATACACTTGGAATGTATAGCTTCCAACTACCTGAGATTTGTTCAAAGTCATAGACAGGCAACAAAGAATGTTACCATAAAAATTTGAATATATATATTATCCTAAAATATCAACAAAGTATATCTATTGTTCTTGAGATACTTTTTAAATTCAAGTTTACATTGAAGTTTCACAGATACAGTGCATATTATATATAACTATTGCTCCATTTGTAGTTAATTACTTGCAAAACTCCCTTAACTGAGTTGGAATATAAACATTTATTTGAATAATTATTTATTCTATTCATTACAGTTGTAGATTATTATTGCACCAACACCGATAATGATCTACAACTGTAAGCGTTGTTTGTAAAAAAATAAAAAATAGTGTCAATAATCTTCCAGAAAAATAAATATATATTTTCTGTCGTGTGAATATAACAGAGAATACCATTCGTTTCAGTTTGCATATTTCAGGTTTTAGGCCTCCCGAGTGGCGCAGTGGTCTGAGGCACTGCATCACAGTGCTAGAGGCGTCACTACAGATCCGGGTTTGATCACGGGCCGTGTCGCACCCGGCCGCGACCGGGAGACCCATGAGGCTGCACACAATTGGCCCAGCGTCGTCCGGGTTAGGGGAGGGTTTGGCCAGCTGGGATGTCCTTCCCATCACGTTCTGGCGACTCCTTCGGTCGCAGGCTGTACGATGTTTCCTCCAACACATTGGTGCGGCTGGCTTCCGGGTTACGCGAGCAGTGTGTCAAGAAGCAGTACGGCTTGGTGGGGTCGTGTTTCGGAGGACGCATGGCTCTCGACCTTCGCCTCTACCGAGTCCGTACGGGAGTTGAGCGATGGGACAAGACTGTAACTACCAATTGGGGAGAAAAATGGGTAAAAACGACTAAAAATAGATATATACAGTACCAGTCAAATGTTTGGACACACCTACTCATTCAAGAGTTTTTCTTTATTTTGTTACTATGTTCTACATTGTAGAATAATAGTGAAGACATCAAAACTATGATATAACATATATGGAATCATGTAGTAACCAAAAAAGTATTAAACAAATCAAAATATATTTTATATTTGAGATTCTTCAAAGTAGCCACCCTTTGCCTTGATGACAGCTTTGCAAACTCTTGGCATTCTCTCAACCAGCTTCACCTGGAATGCATTTCCTACAGTCTTGAAGGAGTTCCTACATATGCTGAGCATTTGTTGGCTGCTTTTCCTTCACTCTGCGGTCCAACTCATCCCAAACGTATGTAAGTCCGTATTGCCCAGCGACAGCCCCAAAACCTGAAGGATCTGGAGAAGGTCTGTATGGAGGAGTGGGCCAAAATCCCTGCTGGAGTGTGTGCAAACCTGGTCAAGACCTACAGGAAACGTATGATCTCTGTAATTGCAAACAAAGGTTTCTGTACCAAATATTAAGTTCTGCTTTTCTGATGTATCAAATACTTATGTCATGCAATAAAATGCAAATTAATTACTTAAAAATCATACAATGTGATTTTCTGGATTTTTGTTTTAGATTCCATCTCTCACAGTTGAAGTGTACCTATGATAAAAATTACAGACCTCTACATGCTTTGTAAGTAGGAAAACCTGCAAAATCGGCAGTGTATCAAATACTTGTTCTCCCCACTGTATACATATATGGACAAGCAATGACAGAGCGGCATGGACTAAGATACAGTAGAATAGTATAGAATACAGTATATACATATGAGATGAGTAGTGCAAGATATGTAAACATTATTAAAGTGACTAGTGTTCCATTTCTTAAAGTGGCCAGTGATTTCAATAGGCAGCAGCAGCCTCTAGTGTGCTAGTGATGGCTGTTTAACAGTCTGATGGCCATGAGATAGAAGCTGTTTTTCATTCTCTCGGTCCCAGCTTTGATGCACCTGTACTGACCTCGTCTTCTTGATGATAGTGGGGTGAACAGGCAGTTGCTCGGGTGGTTGATGTCCTTGATGATCTGTATACCATTCCTACCTTGTCACAACACAACTGATTGGCTCACACACATTAAGAAGGAACGAAATTCCACAAATTAACTTTTAACAAGGCACACCTGTTAATTGAAATGCATTCCAGGTGACTACCTCATGAAGCTGGTTGAGAGAATGCCAAGAGTGTCTTCCCTATTATTCTACAATGTAGAAAATATTAAAAATAAAGAAAAACCCTTGAATGTGTAGGTGTGTCCAAACTTTTGACTGGTACTGTATATATTTCAAGTTTGAACTGTCCTGTGCCATGTGATGAGTAGTACTGAAATAAAGTGCTTTGATCATTATTTGATCAAGTGATAGATCATTATTTGATCAAGTGATTGATTATTATTAAGCAGCAGTAATTGTTATAGTGAAGTTTTAGAAGTCAAGATCGTCTTGATCAATGTCACCTTCCTTGACCTTGCTTGACCTTACAGATCTTCCTGGAGACTTCTTCGGAGTCTTCTTCTTTGGGGAAACGACTTGTCGGTCGAGGACCTCGCTGGCTGTCTCTGTGTATTCTGACACCCTGCTTTCGTCGTCTGTGTCTGTAGGGTACATCGGGTTGCTCTTCACAGAGAGGAGGTGGCCCGACCCTTCCCCTGAACCTGTCTGTGAACTCTTCTCGCTGTTGGATTCTCTCTCTGCCTCTTCGTCCAGGACTTTGTCAAGTGAGCCTGGTTGTGATTCCATGGAAGACTTGGTGGGCTGACAATGTAGGCTCTTTTTAGATGTCCCAGAAGGTCCATCACCATCACCGTCGTCTTCAGACTGTCCTTTGCTTGTGACGTCATCCCCCTCATCAGCTGGCTCTTTCTGAACAGCATCGTCGTTTTCAGCAGTATCTTCCTCAGCTTCCTCCAACCCTTCCTCCTGCTCATCCTCAGCTTCATCCTTCTCCTTCTCAACTTCCTCCTTCTCTTCCTCAACTTCCTCCTGCTCCTCCTCATTTTCAGCAGTTTCCTCCTCAGCTTCCTCCTCAGCTGCTGCCTGCTGCTCCTCAACTTCCTCCTGCTCCTCCTCATTTTCAGCAGTTTCCTCCTCAGCTTCCTCCTCAGCTGCTGCCTGCTGCTCCTCAACTTCCCCCTGCTCCTCCTCATTTTCAGCAGTTTCCTCCTCAGCTTCCTCCTCAGCTGCTGCCTGCTGCTCCTCAACTTCCTCCTGCTCCTCCTCAGCTGCCCCATCTTCAGCTTCATCTTCCTCAGCCTCCTCCTCCACTTCAGCCTGCTCCTCCTCAGCTTCTTCCTTCAGCTCCTCAATAGGAGTCTCCTCAACTTTCTCCATCTCAACTTCCTCCATCTCCTCAGCTTCTTCCTCCGCTTCCTCCTGCAACTCCTCAACAGGAGTCTCTTCAACTGGAGTCTCCGCCTCCTCCTCCTTCTCCTCCTCCTGCATCTCCTCAACTGGAGTCTCCTCAACCTGAAGCTCAGCCTCAGTATCTGCTGCCGTACCACCCTCCTCCCCTTCTTCTTTGTCCCCTTGGTCCTCTGACTCCTCATTGTTTCCTTCAGTCTCTGAATCCTCAACGTCGGCGTAAGCACCGTCTTCAGAGTACTCTGCTAAGGCCAAGGCATTGAATGAGGTCATTGGAGTTTCCTCAACAGTTTCCTTCAAGTTGTTCCCCCTGATAGCTGTCACCTCTGATTGTTCTCCCTCATCTGTCGACACTTCCAACTCAGACTCATCCTCAGCTTCATCCTCTCCGTCGGCTGAGTACCCAAAGTTTCCACAACAATCCTCTTCATTGGCTGTCTCATTGCCCTCCGTGGTTTCCGCTTCTTCTTCTTTTTCAAACTCCTCCACAACGTCTTCGGCTTGGTCTTGGCTTCCATCTGCAAAGTCCTCTGTGTTTACTTCGTTTGTCTTTGCTTCTTCTGCCTCGTCTCCTGCATTGTCTCCTGCATTGTCTCCTGCATTGTCTCCTGCATTGTCTCCTGCCTCGTCTCCTGCATTTGCGTCCTCTTCTTGTTCTGTTCCTGTCTCCTCCTGAACCATATCTTGATCTGTTGTTGCTCCCTCCTCCGCCTCATCGTCTGCTTTTATCTCCGATACGTCATCATGACCCTCCGTCTCCTCAATGTTTGACTCAACTACTGGCTCTTTTTCCTCTGCTGTTTCATCCTCCCCCTTTTCTAAATTCTCCTCAGCTTCATCTTCAGCTCCATTTCTTGCTGCTTCGTCTTCAACTGCCTCAGCTTCTGCTGACTCTTCTCCTGCATTTTCATTCTCATCTCCTCCAGTTTCATTTCCGGCAGTCTGCTCTTCTCCCTCAGCTGTTTCAGCTTCAGCTGTTTCATCTTCAGCACTCTCCTCCCCTCCTGCTGTTTCATCATCAGCTGTCCCTTCCCCTGCAGTTTCAGCTGGTGCCGACTCATCTCCAGTTGTTTCAACTTCGGCAGACTCATCGCCAGTTGTTTCATTTTCTGCGGACTCATGCCCTGTGGTTTCATGTTCTCCAGCTGTCTCATCGTCTGCAGTCTCAGCTGTAGCAATCTCCTCTTCCCCTGCTGTTTTATTTTCAGCTTCCTCTTCCGTTGCTGCATCATCAGTGGTTTCTGCCTCCACTGTCTCTTCGTCTCTGGCAGCTTCCTCTTCTGCTGCCTCAGATTCAGCATCCTCCTCCCCTTCAGCTGTTTCATTTTCAGCTTTCTCTGCATCTTCTTCTATGCCTGTTCCATTTTCAACCGTTTCAGCTTCTGCAGTTTCCTCGTCAGCTGTCCTCTACTTCAGCATCCTCCTCTTCTTTGGCAGTTTCGTCTCCAGCTGTTTCAGCTTCAACACTTTCTTCCTCTCCTGCATTCTCCCCTTCAGCTGCTTCTTCTTCAGCAGTCTCTTCTCCTGCTGTTCCATCATCTGTAGTCTCTGCCTCAGCAGTCTCCTCGTCTCCGGCAGTTTCATTTTCAGCTGCCTCTGCTTCCGCTGTCTCATCAGCGGCTTCTGCCTCTGCCTCAGCAGTCTCCTCCTCTCCTGCTTCATCTCCTGCTTCATCTCCTGCTGTCTCTGCCTCAGCAATCTCCTCGTCTCCGGCAGTTTCATTTTCAGCTGCCTCTGCTTCCGCTGTCTCATCAGCGGCTTCTGCCTCTGCCTCAGCAGTCTCCTCCTCTCCTGCTTCATCTCCTGCTTCATCTCCTGCTGTCTCTGCCTCAGCAATCTCCTCGTCTCCGGCAGTTTCATTTTCAGCTGCCTCTGCATCAGCTGTCTCTTCCTCTCCTGCTGTTTCATCAGCTGTCTCTGCTTCTGTGCCCTCCTCCTCTCCTGTTGTTGATCCTGCTGCTATAACAGTCTCTACTTTATCAGTTTCTTCTTCTGCTGCTTCTTTGTCTTCTCCTGTTTCTGCTTCAACTTCTTCCTCTCCTGCAGTGTCCTCTTCAGCTTCCTCTACTTCAGCTGTCTCTTCTTCTCCCGATGTTTTGTCATCAGCTGCTGTCTCTGCCTCAGCAGTTTCTTCTTCTCCTGCTTCATCTTCTGCTGTCTCAGTTTCTGCTGTTTCTGCTTCAGCTTCCTCCTCTTCTCCTGCTGTTTCATTATCAGCTGCTGTCTCTGCCTCAGCAGTTTCTTCTTCTCCTGCTTCATCTTCTGCTGTCTCAGTTTCTGCTGTTTCTGCTTCAGCTTCCTCCTCTTCTCCTGCTGTTTCATGATATGCTGCTGCCTCTGCTTTACCACTCTCTTCTGCTTCATCTTCAGCTATCTCAGCTTCAGCATTCTTTGATTCAGCGTCCACCTCCTCTCCCTGTGCTTCATCAGCTGCTGTCTCAGCTTCAACAATTTCTGCTTCAGCAGTTTCTTCTTCTGCTGTTTCATTTTCAGCAGTATCTGTTTCAGCTTCCCCCTCTTCTACTGCTTCATCTTCAGCTGTCACTTCCACATCAGTTTCTGCTGTCTCAGCTTTGTCACCCATTTCAGCATCATTTTGTTGTGATTCCTCCATCTCCTTCTTAGCCCCGTTGATAACATTTTCAACAGGAGTTTCCACTGCTTTGGCTTCATCCACACCTTCAGCCTCATTTGTAACATTGACTTCTTCTTGTATCTGTGGCGGACTGTCCTTTTTCAACTGGAGAATTGACTTTAGATCAAAAGCATGTGTAATACTAACTTTCACTAATGTGGCTTCATCCATAGTTTCTGTAACATCAACGTCTTGTGTCTTTGGAGTAGGGTCCTTTTTCAACTGAAGAATTGACTTTAGATCAAAAGCCATCATGACTGGTGCAGTGTGCAGAACTTCTGCAGGAAGCAGTGGCCCCAATTCCATTTTCTTTTGTATACACGTTTCACAAGGGCAATATTCATCGTCGCTCCGTTGGTCACTGAAAGAAGTGCAGGTTGCATCGTCGCTTTTATCCACCCGGTTGTCAATGGACTGGTCACGCACGACTTTCAGCCTTCTTCGCCTCGTCTCTGTTTGTGCAGTTGATTCTCGTGACAAGGCTTCTTTGGGTGGTCTTGGTCTTCCTGCCCGACCGTGGATCTTCCTCAGTTCCCTGTCGATGCTTAGTTGTATTCTCCTCCGCACATCATCTTTCAGTTCGGCTATCATGTCGTCGAGCTGTTCGTTGTTGTCCAAGTTCCAGCGAACCTTGAACTCAGCCATGGCATCCACATAATGTGTCATGAACTGCTTCTCTAGTTTGTTCAGTAAATTCAAGACCCAGACAGGATCAGGATCCAGGGAAACCTTTTTGGTTAGTTGTGCCCTTTGGACAGACGGAGGCGAGCCAGAGCTTGTGTCCTCTTGAGGGTCTGAGCTCTTATTGGAAGACGGGGGTGTTTCTGGTAATTCTCTCAGACTTTCATTTCTAACGGTATCATCAGATGCCGGGACGTCTTCATCTTTTTGTTTCTCTTCTTCCACTGCTGTTCCTCCTTCTCCTCCTCCTCCTTCTCCTCCTCCTTCTCCTCCTTCTTCGGGGATCCATTGGACCTGACTGGCTATATCCGGAGTGCCTGGATCAGACATTGGTGCTGAGGACTCTGGGCATTCATCTTTCTGTGCTATTTCATCAACTTCTTGTACCTTCACCAATGCGTCGCCCTCTGCGTTCGGTGCCTGAGCCACACCGCCTGAACACTTACCTGAGCCTGATGAGCCACTGCTGACGTCCACCCCAGAGGACGACCTCGCTTTGGCATCACCGTCCACAGAGTGTTGATCACAGCCATTCTGCTGTTGCTTTCCAGCTTCTGCTGGGTCACACAACCAAAGGGACTGGAGGATGTTCATTAGCTCTCTGTACCTTGTGTCCTTGGTGTTTGCATCGTCATTTGGATCAAAGTCTATCAACTGCAGCTTTGCGAGGCAATCCAGGAGACCTCTAGCTGATGTGCTCAGTTTACGTCCGTACACTGGGGAAACTTCAGGTAAGCTGTTACACCGGTCAAGCTTGGGATTCAACAGGACTTTCATCACCTGAACTGAGGAGTGAAAGCTCTTTGATACATCTTGCTGTGGAGCAGTGCAGGGGCGAGTGTCTTCTGGTGGCGTCTCTGGTGGGGTCTCCGCTGGCTCCTCACTGTCAGCCACATGGTTGGCCACTGTCTCTTTGAGCTCTTCCTTTTCGTTTTGAGTCTCACACTCAGCAGTGGTGTCAATCTCCCCTTTTGGTTTTTCCTTTTGCGGTAGTTCTTCCGGTGAATGGCCTCTTTCACTGAATTCATCCCCAATGTCATACATCGCACTGTCGGACGGTATTTTCTTAAGCCACTCATTCACAACCTCTGTTGGAGAGGTGTTGGGTAGATTGGAAGGAACCAGCTCAGAGACATCTCCTTCCAGCTGCTGTCGGGAGAAACTGAGTAAGGAAACCCCTTTCCCGTGTTTGCACTTGCCACTGTTGTCACTTTTGTTGTCACTGACATTCCTGTCTATCACTTCCAAGGGGCCATTGCATGAGATGTTAGAGTTCTCTTCCACTGGATCTGCTGCATGTGACTTATTACTGTCACTTGAGCCACTAAGTAAAATGACAGGTCGTTTGATTTTTCTTGGGGTTGGTGGGCAGTCTGGTGGGGTAGGAGTGAGACAACTCTCTGACGCAACAGAGTTAGGTCTGGGATTGTCTACATGATCTCCAGTGGCAGTCTTCTTTGACCTGTTTGTCTTCATTGAAATATCACTCCCTTTGTCGCTTTTGGCATCATCCGTATTGTTTTTGTCCTTTTGTCCTTTGACTTGCAGGTGAGAAGACACGTTGGACATGTTGCTTTTAGGTCTCTCAGCCACTTCAGAAGTTATACTATCTTTGGGTTTGGAGTTACAGTAAATGCATTTGGATTTGTCTGATGCATGGGTCCTGGCTGATCTCGCAGACTTAGCGGATACAGTACTTGGTGCATTCTTCACATTTTCCTCAACTTGCTCTTCAGCTTTTTCTATAGCATTAACTTCAAAAACGTTGGACTTCCTTGATCTTGCAGATACATGTGACTTAGCTGATACAGCACTGAGTGCTTGCTCCTCTGTTTTATGGTCTGGTTCAATAACTGAAACTTTGGACTTCTTAGATCTTGCTGAGACATTTGATTTAGCAGACATAGCACTAGGTGCTCTCTCTTCAGTTTCTTCTACTTCCTCTTGTGCCTTCACTTCGGCAGTAGCATACTCTGTTTGGTCTTCTGGTTCAGCAGTTTCTTCAGCTTCAACTTCTGAGGATTTGGACTTTCTAGATTTTGCTGAAACATTGGACATAGCAGACATCGCCCCGGGAGCTTGTTCCTCAGCTACCTCCACTTCTTCCTCTGTGTTATCGTTAGCTGGAGCTTCCTCCTCAGGTTCAGCAGTTTCATCAGCAGGAACTTCAGACTTAGTAGACACAGCACTAGCTGGAGCATACTCTGGTTGGTCTTCAGGTTCAGCAGTTTCTTCAGCTGGAACTTTAGAAGCTTTTGATTTTGTTGATCTTGCTAAAGCATTGGACTTGGCTGACTTGACTGACATAGCACTAGCTGCTCTCTCCTCAGTTTGATCCTGTTCTGCAGCGGGATCATCAGAAATGTCATATTTCTTTTGTCTTGCTGACATATTGTACTTAGCAGACATAGCGCTGGATGCTCTCTCGGTTTCTTCGACACAAAGTTTAGAAACCTTGGACTTCTTTGATCTTGCAGACACATTAGACATAGCTGATTTAGCAGACATAGCACTGGATGCTCTCTCGGTTTCTTCGACACAAAGTTCAGAAACCTTGGACTTCTTTGATGTTGCAGAGACATTGGACTTAGCTGACTTAGCAGACATAGCACTGGATGCTCTTTCAGGTTCTTCAACACAAAGTTCAGAAACCTTGGACTTCTTTGATCTTGCAGACGCATTAGACTTAGCTGATTTAGCAGACATAGCACTGGGTGCTCTCTCTCTGATGTCTTCCAATTCTTCATCTCCGTTTTCCACAGGAGGACCTTCTGAAGCGTTAGACTTCACAGGTCTTGCAGAAACATTGGATTCTATAGATTTTGCTGAAACGTTGGACATAGCAGACACAGCGCTGCAAGCTCGTTCCTCAGCTATCTCCACTTCTTCCTCTGTGTTATCGTCAACTGGAGCTTCCTCCTCAGGTTCAGCGGTTTCATCAGCAGGAACTTCAGACTTAGCAGTAATAGCACTAGCTGCTCTCTCCTCAGTTTGATCCTGTTCTGCAGCGGGACCATCAGAAATTTCGTATTTCTTGTGTCTTGCTGACATATTGTACTTAGCAGACATAGCGCTGGATGCTCTCTCTGTTTCTTCGACACAAAGTTCAGAAACCTTGGACTTCTTTGATCTTGCAGAGACATTGGACTTAGCTGATTTAGCAGACATAGCGCTGGATGCTCTCTCGGTTTCTTCGACACAAAGTTCAGAAACCTTGGACTTCTTTGATGTTGCAGAGACATTGGACTTAGTTGACTTATCAGACATAGAACTGGGTGCTCTCGCTTCAATTTCTTCCAATTCCTCTTCTCCATTTTTCACAGGAGGAACTTCTGAAGTTTTAGGCTTCGCTGATCTTGCAGAAATATTAGATTTAGCAGACATACTGCTGGGTGCTCTCTCTTTAATTTGATCATCTTCTTCAGCAGGAACTTCAGAACCTTTGGATTTCTTTGAAGCTTCGGACGTAGCAGACATAGCACTAGGCGCTCTCTCTTCAGTTTCACCTACTTCATCTTCAGGGCTGTCTTCATCAGGAACTTCAGAAGCTTTAGATGTCTTGCATCTTGCCGAAACAGCAGACCTACCAGACAACGTGCTGGGTGCTCTCTCTTCATTTACTTCTTCAGGACAAAGTTGAGAAACCTTTGACATTGCGCTAGGTGCTCCGTCCTTCTTTTCATCCACTTCTGCTTCAGCCGGAACTTCAGAAGCTTTTGATTTCTTGGATCTGACGGACACATTGGATTTCCTTGATATTGCAGAAGCATTAGACTTAGCTGACTTAGCAGACATAGCACTAGGTCCTCTCTCTTTAATTTCTTCCAATTCTTTGTCTCTGTTTTCCTCAGGAGGAACTTCAGAAGATTTAGACTTCGCTGATCTTGCAGAAACATTGGATTTAAAAGACCTAGCACTGGGAGCTCTGTTCTCTGTTTCTTCTGCTACCTCAGTTTCTGCACTTTCTTCAGCTCCCTCTTCAGTTTCTTCCTCAGCAGCTTTAGATTTCCTCGATCTTGCTGAGACATTAGACTTAGCAGACATAGCACTAGGTGCTCTCTCCTCAGTTTCCCCAACTTCATCTTCTGCGTTGTCTTCAGAAGGATCATCAGAAATATTGGACTTAGCAGACATAGCAGACATACCACTAGATGGTCTCTCTTCAGTTTGATCCTCTTCTCCAGCGGGATTATAAGGAACGTAGTATTTCTTGTATCTTGCTGACCGGTTGTACTTAGAAGACATGGCGCTGGATGATCTGCCATTTCGCTCTTCAGCACAAAGTTGAGAAACCTTGGTATTCTTTGATCTTGCAGAAACATTAGACTTATCTGACATAGTACTAGCTGCTCTCTCTTCAGTTTCATCTGCTTCTGCGTTTTCCTCTGCTGTTTCCTTTACCTCATCTTCTGCGTTTTCCTCTGCTGTTTCCTTTACCTCATCTTCTGCGTTTTCCTCTGCTGTTTCCTTTACCTCATCTTCTGCGTTTTCCTCTGCTGTTTCCTTTACCTCATCTTCTGCATTTTCTTCAGCTCTTTCCTCAGTTTCCCCGACATCACCTTCTGCTGTTTCCTCAGCAGCAACTTCTGAAGCTTTAGACTTTCTTGATCTTGCTGAAGCATTAGACTTAGTAGATGTAGCGCTGGATGCTCTCTCTTCAGTTTGTTCTACTTCTGCATTTTCTTCAGTAGGAACAACTTTGGATTTCTTGCATCTTGCCGAAACAGCAGATTTTCCAGACAATGCACTGGCTGCTCTAAATTCTTCTTCTGGACAAAGTTCAGAAACCTTTAAGTTCTTTGAACTTAGTTTATTGGACTTGGCTGATTTAGCAGACATAGTACTAGCTGCTCTCTCTTCAGCTTTTCCCAATTCCTCTTCTTCGTTTTCCTCAGCTGGAAGAGTTTGATCATCTTCTGCAGCGGAATCATCAGAAATGTCATATTTCTTGTGTCTTTCTGACATATTGTACTTAGCAGACATAGCACTGGATGCTCTTTCGGTTTCTTCGACACAAAGTTCAGAAACCTTGGACTTCTTTGATCTTGCAGACACATTAGACTTAGCTGATTTAGCAGACATAGCACTGGATGCTCTCTCGGTTTCTTCGACACAAAGTTCAGAAACCTTGGACTTCTTTGATGTTGCAGAGACATTGGACTTAGCGGACTTAGCAGACATAGCACTGGATGCTCTTTCAGGTTCTTCAACACAAAGTTCAGAAACCTTGGACTTCTTTGATGTTGCAGAGACATTGGACTTAGCGGACTTAGCAGACATAGCACTGGATGCTCTTTCAGGTTCTTCAACACAAAGTTCAGAAACCTTGGACTTCTTTGATCTTGCAGACACATTAGACTTAGCTGATTTAGCAGACATAGCACTGGATGCTCTCTCGGTTTCTTCGACACAAAGTTCAGAAACCTTGGACTTCTTTGATGTTGCAGAGACATTGGACTTAGTTGACTTATCAGACAAAGAACTGGGTGCTCTCGCTTCAATTTCTTCCAATTCCTCTTCTCCATTTTTCACAGGAGGAACTTCTAAAGCTTTAGACTTCGCTGATCTTGCAGAAACATTGGATTTAAAAGACCTAGCACTGGGAGCTCTGTTCTCTGTTTCTTCTGCTACCTCAGTTTCTGCACTTTCTTCAGCTCCCTCTTCAGTTTCTTCCTCAGCAGCTTTAGATTTCCTCGATCTTGCTGAGACATTAGACTTAGCAGACATAGCACTAGGTGCTCTCTCCTCAGTTTCCTCAACTTCATCTTCTGCGTTGTCTTCAGAAGGATCATCAGAAATATTGGACTTAGCAGACATAGCAGACATACCACTAGATGGTCTCTCTTCAGTTTGATCCTCTTCTCCAGCGGGATTATAAGGAACGTAGTATTTCTTGTATCTTGCTGACCGGTTGTACTTAGAAGACATGGCGCTGGATGATCTGCCATTTCGCTCTTCAGCACAAAGTTGAGAAACCTTGGTTTTCTTTGATCTTGCAGAAACATTAGACTTATCTGACATAGTACTAGCTGCTCTCTCTTCAGTTTCATCTGCTTCTGCGTTTTCCTCTGCTGTTTCCTTTACCTCATCTTCTGCGTTTTCCTCTGCTGTTTCCTTTACCTCATCTTCTGCGTTTTCCTCGGCTGTTTCCTTTACCTCATCTTCTGAGTTTTCCTCGGCAGTTTCCTTTACCTCATCTGCCGCATTTTCTTCAGCTCTTTCCTCAGTTTCCCCGACATCACCTTCTGCTGTTTCCTCAGCAGCAACTTCTGAAGCTTTAGACTTTCTTGATCTTGCTGAAGCATTAGACTTAGTAGATGTAGCGCTGGATGCTCTCTCTTCAGTTTGTTCTACTTCTGCATTTTCTTCAGTAGGAACAACTTTGGATTTCTTGCATCTTGCCGAAACAGCAGATTTTCCAGACAATGCACTGGCTGCTCTAAATTCTTCTTCTGGACAAAGTTCAGAAACCTTGAAGTTCTTTGAACTTAGTTTATTGGACTTGGCTGATTTAGCAGACATAGTACTAGCTGCTCTCTCTTCAGCTTTTCCCAATTCCTCTTCTTCGTTTTCCTCAGCTGGAAGAGTTTGATCATCTTCTGCAGCGGAATCATCAGAAATGTCATATTTCTTGTGTCTTTCTGACATATTGTACTTAGCAGACATAGCACTGGATGCTCTTTCGGTTTCTTTGAAACAAAGTTCAGAAACCTTGGACTTTAATGTTGCAGAAACATTAGACGTAGCAGACATTGCACTATGTGCCCTCTCTTCAGTTTCTTCCAATTCCTTTTCTGCTTTTCCTTCAGCGGGAACATGAGAAACCTTTGACTTTCTTGATGCGTTAGATTTAACTGACAAAGCATTTGATGCTCTTTTTTCATCTTCTTCTGGTGTAACGTTTTCTTCAGCTGCCACTTCTGCCATTTTAGACTGAGATCTTGTTGAGGCATTTGATTGAACTGACATGGCACTTGAGGATCTTTTGTCTGTTTGATGTTCCTGTACTTCTACATCTTCTACAGCTGAAACATTGGACTTCCTTGACTTGGCTGAGGTATTTGATTTGACTGACATGGCACTTGATGGTTGCGCTCCTGAATGAACTCCTGAATCCCCAACGTTGGACTTCCTACATCTGGTAGAGACATTTGATTTGGCAGACAGTGAGCTCATTGCCCTCTCCTTTGTTTCTAGGTCTTTGGTTTCAGTGTCCTCTGAAGGGTTTGCTTCTTGACTCTCCTCTTCTGCTGCAGTTTCAGCATTTCCATCATCAGCTTCCATTGCTTGTTCTGCTTCATCAGATCCTTCACACTCACAGTTGTTTGATTCTTGGTCATCTTGTCCATCTGATGGTGCCAGAGACACAACTTTGACTGACTTCTTGGACTTGGTAGAGCGCACAGAAGATGCCTTACTACTCGGAGGCCTGGGAGATAAATGTTGCGTAGGTGTTGCTGCTGCGTTCAAAACAGCACTTCTAGTGGGTTCCTCCTCATCGGCATTACTATTCTGAGAACATGCACATGCTCTCGAAACACTTGGTGGAAGGTCGTCATCCTCATCATCCTGGTCTTCCCTGAGCGATGCCAGGATCTGAGAGGAAAGACTAACTGCAGACACAGGCCGCTCCTCTTCCTCTGCGTCAGTGATCTTGACGCTGACCTCGCTCTGAGACTCCTTGGAGGGAGCGGAGGATGAACCGTCAGCTGTGGCCTCGTCGTTATCCGACGCCTGGGTTGTAATGCACTCGCTCTTGCTGAGGCTCTTGCTCTTCTCCCCGGTGGAAGACCTGGTCTCACTCTTGACGGACGTCGTCGTCGAGCGCACTTTGTTCCTGCTGCTGCCGCGGCTGATGGTGCAGTATTCCATCGTGGTGTCGCCCCCTTCCTCCTCCACAGTCTGCTGAAAGCAAGCAGTCTTCTCCGCCACGTGCTCGGTGATCTCCTCACTGGACATGGTCTCCACCGATCCCTTTTTACGTACAACGGTGTGTGAGGAGGCACTGGAGCTGGAGGAGGTAATGTGGCGGACAGTCCCCCGCCCGCTGGAAATATGGCTCTTCCAGATCTCGTACTCCTGGCAGTGGCCGCAGCAGTGCTGACAGTGAGGGTCCTCCAGATGCTTCTGGTGCAGCTCGGTGACGTAGGCATCGTCGGCCTCGCCTGGTGAAAGGGGCTCCGGCTCGGAACAGCTTTCCGCACTGCTCTGCCGAAGAGAGCAGTTGTCGTGGTATCCTTGGAGGTGTTCATTGGCTGTTCCTACCGACTTCTTTATTTGTGTGGACCAATGCAGCGTCTCGTCGTTCAGTAGTCGGAAATGCACTTTCATTTCCATTGACAAGCTGCCGTCTTTGTTGACTAGTACCCTTTTCTCGATGTCATCCTCCATCAAGCCTTCACTTGAATGAGGGCAGGGGCCAACATGGGCCGGGGATGTAGAGTTGATTGGTGGGAGTGATTTGTCAGATGATATGGAATGCCTGGCTGACCGGTTGATGAATTCAGATCTTAAGTGGATGACACTTTTATTTGTCTCAAGTCCTAAGCCACCTGTAGAAGTGAAAAGCAGAGAGGAACATACATGATCAGTTAGGTTTACAAGAAGCCTGACGCTGAGGAAATCTACATTTTCCAGTAAAACCAGTTCATACAGTTCTTACAAGAATTAGCAGATACGTTGCTGAATATCAATAATGAGTATACCAAACATTAAGAACAACTTCTTAATATTGACTTGCACATCCCCCTTTTGCCCTCAGAACAGCCTCAATTCGTCGGGACTCTATAAGGTGACGAAAGTGTTCCACAGGGATGCTGGGCCATGTTGACTCCAATGCTTACCACAATTGTATCAAGTTGACTGGATGTCCTTTGGGTGGTGGACCATTCATGATACATACGGGAAACTGTTGAGCAGGAAAATCCCAGCAGTGTTGCTGTTCTTGACACAAACCGGCGCGCCTGGCATCTACTACCATACCCCGTTCAAAGGCACTTAAATCTTTTGTCTTGCTCATTCACCCTCTGACAATCCATGTCTCAATCGTCTCAATGCTTAAAAATCCTTCTTTAACCTGTCTCCTCCCCTTCACCTACACTGATTGAAGTGGATTTAACAAGTGACATAAATAAGGGATCATAGCTTTCACCTGGTTTCACCTGGTCAGTCTGTCATGGAAAGAGCAGGTGTTGGTAATGTTTTGTACACTCAGTATTGACAGTATCTGATGGCCAGCACAGTGACTTCTCATTTGGCAAAGGAATTGCTTTGCTTAACATAATAGCAGTATATTTCTAGAAAGAAATATTTGGGAAATGACAGAAATTTAAAGATATTAAGATATTGTTGGTGTAAGTTGGTTTATAAGCACTTGATGACAGCTGTAGATGTAATGATTGATTGATTGATTGATTGAGTGAGTGAGTGATTGATATGCTTGAGTGAGTGAGTGGGTGAGTGAGTGAGTGATTGATATGCTTGAGTGAGTGAGTGAGTGAGTGATTGATTGATTGATATGCTTGAGTGAGTGAGTGAGTGAGTCATTGATTGATTGATATGCTTGAGTGAGTGAGTGATTGATTGATATGCTTGAGTGAGTGAGTGAGTGATTGATTGATTGATATGCTTGAGTGAGTGAGTGATTGATTGATTGATATGCTTGAGTGAGTGAGTGAGTGATTGATTGATATGCTTGAGTGAGTGAGTGAGTGAGTGATTGATTGATTGATTGATTGATATGCTTGAGTGAGTGAGTGAGTGATTGATTGATTGATATGCTTGAGTGAGTGAGTGAGTGAGTGATTGATTGATATGCTTGAGTGAGTGAGTGAGTGAGTGAGTGATTGATTGATTGGCTTGAGTGAGTGAGTGAGTGAGTGAGTGAGTGATTGATTGATATGTTTGAGTGAGTGAGTGAGTGAGTGAGTGAGTGAGTGAGTGAGTGAGTGATTGATTGAGTGAGTGATTGATATAGTCATACCATTTTTCTTACTCTCCTGTTCGGCCATGCTGGAGCGTCCCAGTGACTTTGGCCTCAGTCGTGGAAGTTTGTCATCTGAGTTTTTCCGGAAGTTCTCCAGAATGTTGGGGTGGGAGGGCTCACGGCCCACACAAATCAACACACTGGGGCACTGCAAGAGACTCTGAACACTGTCGATCTGAAACAAAGTAACACACAGAGAGCCAGGTGACAAATGTTTTACGGTAGATGAGCAGACTAATAGAGGACAGGCAGGTTCCTAGATGAGGTAACTGACACGGAGAGTCAGTCAAAATCAGCTATGATCTAAATTGAGATTGGCAGGTTTCTCTAGAAAACCTTTTGATCTCAATGAGACAAACCTGTATGAATAATACTTACATAAAAATATATATCAGTATCACAATAGCGGTGTGTTAAAGGATGCTAAATATATATATATATATATATATATATATATATATATATATATTTATCAGTATCACAATAGCGGTGTGTTAAAGGATGCTAAAAATATATATATATCAGTATCACAATAGCAGCGTGTTAAAGGATGCTAAAAATATATATATATCAGTATCACAATAGCAGCGTGTTAAAGGATGCTAAAAATATATATCAGTATCACAATAGCAGCGTGTTAAAGGATGCTAAAAATATATATATATCAGTATCACAATAGCGGCGTGTTAAAGGATGCTAAAAAAATATATATATATATCAGTATCACAATAGCGGCGTGTTAAAGGATGCAAAAATATATATATATATCACTATCACAATAGCGGCGTGTTAAAGGATGCTAAAAATATACATATATCAGTATCACAATAGCAGTGTGTTAAGGATGCTAAAAATATATATATATCAGTATCACAATAGCAGCGTGTTAAAGGATGCAAAAAATATATATATATCAGTATCACAATAGCGGCGTGTTAAAGGATGCTAAAAATATATATATATCAGTATCACAATAGCGGCGTGTTAAAGGATGCTAAAAAATATATATATATCAGTATCACAATAGCAGTGTGTTAAAGGATGCTAAAATATATATATATATCAGTATCACAATAGCGGTGTGTTAAAGGATGCTAAAAAATATATATATATCAGTATCACAATAGCAGTGTGTTAAAGGATGCTAAAAAATATATATATATCAGTATCACAATAGCAGTGTGTTAAAGGATGCTAAATATATATATATATCAGTATCACAATAGCAGTGTGTTAAAGGATGCTAAAAATATATATATATCAGTATCACAATAGCGGCGTGTTAAAGGATGCTAAAAAATATATATATATCAGTATCACAATAGCAGTGTGTTAAAGGATGCTAAATATATATATATATATCAGTATCACAATAGCGGTGTGTTAAAGGATGCTAAAAAATATATATATATCAGTATCACAATAGCAGTGTGTTAAAGGATGCTAAAAATGATATCAATATCACAATATCAGTACACAAGACTAAAGTGTTAAAGGACGCTAGCTGAACCATCTTTACAGGATATGGATAAGAACCAAGGTCATAATGGATTCAAGCATCAACAACATGAAGATGTTAACAAGTTCAAGGAAACATAAACATCTGCAATCTTAATGGTCCCTCACTACCCTTTAAGATGATCATTAAAACAGCATTCTGACGTGATTAGCATGAGCTGATTACCACGACGGGAAGTCTGATATAGCAAATAGGGTGTGTTCAGTCCAGGACAAAATTAGTTTGGGCCAACTGCACGTTGAACTTGCATCCATAACGCTTTAAGGTGGATCATTTTCTCCTGTGTAAGCGCTTTGAGCATCTGGAAAACCATTATATAAATCGAATCAATTATTAACTTCAAGTAGTCAAATACAATGCAACTTTAGAAAATGTTTTTTTCCATCAATAATTACAGCAAAAATATCTGTTGATTATTTAATGGAACGCAAACAGTGGAAAACCTCTTGAAGGTCCGATGAAGTCGGTTACGGAAGGAATAAGATAATTAAACACAAGTGGCAAGATATTATTTTATTTCAAGTTCTCATCAAATAATTCCCACACACCTGCAACAAGTAACCGCAGACGTGCGGGAGCTTTTCCTGTTTTAAACCACTTTAGTGCCTCTGCCGTGTTAGTGATGCAACATCCTAGCAGCAGCATGGGCCGTGTGAGGGTCAAGTATGGCTGGCCATATTATCTTCCTATCCCAGGATCATCTCCTGGTCCTAGTGCCCATCGCCTGAGGTGACCGTGCATTCTGTTGTCACCGGACAAAGAGCCCCAAGCATGGCTCAGCAGCCCTAGGAGTTTGCTGAGGTGGGGGTAAAGCAGGAACAACACCAGAGAGAGACTGGTTGGTGTTATAAAGTTATAATACATTACAGTATAGGATAATGATAACCTAGGGATTCATTTTGATTTAATCAAGAACACAATCTACTCCCGAAACTACCCCCGACTCTACTCCCGACTCTACTCCCGACTCTACTCCCGAAACTACCCCCGACTCTACTCCCGACTCTACTCCCGAAACTACTCCCGACTCTACTCCTGACTACTCCTGACTACTCCTGACTCTACTCCTGACTCTACTCCCAACACTACTACTCATTCTACCCCCGACTCTACTCCCGACTCTACTCCCGAAACTACCCCCGACTCTACTCCCGACTCTACTCGCGAAACTACCCCCGACTCTACTCCCGACTATTCCTGACTCTACTCCTGACTCTACTCCCAACACTACTACTCATTCTACTCCTGACTCTACTCCTGACTCTACCCCCTACTCTACTCCTGACTCTACTCCTGACTCTACTCCTGACTCTACTCCAGACTCTACTCCCGACACTACTCACGACACTACTCCTTACTACTCCCGACTCTACTCGTGACTCTACTCCCGACTCCACCCCCGGCTCTACTCCTGACTCTACTCCTGACTCTACTCCTGACTCTACTCCTGACTCTACTCCTGACTCTACCCCCGACTCTACTCCTGACTCTACTCCTGACTCTACTCCTGACTCTACCCCCGACTCTACTCCTGACTCTACTCCTGACTCTACTCCTGACTCTACTCCTGACTCTACTCCTGACTCTACCCCCGACTCTACCCCCGACTCTACTCCTGACTCTACTCCTGACTCTATTCCTGACTCTACTCCTGACTCTACTCCTGACTCTACTCCTGACTCTACCCCCGACTCTACTCCTGACTCTACTCCTGACTCTACTCCTGACTCTTCTCCTGACTCTACTCCTGACTCTACTCCAGACTCTACTCCATACTCTATTCCCGACTCAACTCCTGACTACTCCTGACACTACTCCCGACTCTACTCCTAACTATTCTCCTGACTCTACTCCTGACTCTACTCCAGACTCTACTCCATACTCTATTCCCGACTCAACTCCTGACTACTCCTGACTCTACTCCTGACTCTACTCCTGACTCTACCCCCGACTCTACTCCTGACTCTACTCCCGAAACTACCCCCGACTCTACTCCCGACTCTACTCCCGAAACTACCCCCGACTCTACTCCTGACTATTCCTGACTCTACTCCTGACTCTACTCCCAACACTACTACTCATTCTACTCCTGACTCTACTCCTGACTCTACCCCCTACTCTACTCCTGACTCTACTCCTGACTCTACTCCAGACTCTACTCCCGACACTACTCACGACACTACTCCTTACTACTCCCGACTCTACCCGCGACTCTACTCCCGACTCCACCCCCGGCTCTACTCCTGACTCTACTCCTGACTCTACTCCTGACTCTACTCCTGACTCTACTCCTGACTCTACCCCCGACTCTACTCCTGACTCTACTCCTGACTCTACTCCTGACTCTACCCCCGACTCTACTCCTGACTCTACTCCTGACTCTACTCCTGACTCTACTCCTGACTCTACTCCTGACTCTACCCCCGACTCTACCCCCGACTCTACTCCTGACTCTACTCCTGACTCTATTCCTGACTCTACTCCTGACTCTACTCCTGACTCTACTCCTGACTCTACCCCCGACTCTACTCCTGACTCTACTCCTGACTCTACTCCTGACTCTTCTCCTGACTCTACTCCTGACTCTACTCCAGACTCTACTCCATACTCTATTCCCGACTCAACTCCTGACTACTCCTGACACTACTCCCGACTCTACTCCTGACTCTTCTCCTGACTCTACTCCTGACTCTACTCCAGACTCTACTCCATACTCTATTCCCGACTCAACTCCTGACTACTCCTGACTCTACTCCTGACTCTACTCCTGACTCTACCCCCGACTCTACTCCTGACTCTACTCCTGACTCTACTCCTGACTCTACTCCTGACTCTTCTCCTGACTCTACTCCTGACTCTACTCCAGACTCTACTCCATACTCTATTCCCGACTCAACTCCTGACTACTCCTGACTCTACTCCAGACTCTACTCCCGACTACTCCCGACTACACCTGACTCTACTCCCGACTACTCCTGACTCTACTCCTGACTCTACTCCTGACTCTACTCCTGACTCTACCCCCGACTCTACTCCTGATTCTACTCCTGAAACTACTCCTGACACTACTCCCGACTCTACCACTGACTACTCCTGACTCTACTCCAGACTTTACTCCCTACTCAACTCCTGACTACTCCCGACACTACTCCCGACTCTACTCCTGACTCTACACCTGACTACTCCCAACTCTACTCCCTACTCTACTCCTGACTACTCCCAACACTACTCCCGACTCTACTCCAGACTCTTCTCCGTGAGTCTACTCCCAACTCTACTCCCGAATCTACTCCTGACTCTACTCCTGACTACTCCTGACTCTACTCCCGACTCTACTCTTTACCACTCCTGACTCTACTCCTGTCTACTCCTGACTCTACTCCTGACTACTCCTGACTACTCCTGACTCTACTCCCGACACTACTCCCGACTCTACGCCTGACTACTCCTGACTCTACTCCCGACTTTACTCCCTACTCAACTCCTGACTAGTCCCGACACTACTCCCGACTCTACTCCTGACTCTACTCCTGACTCTACTCCCGACTCTACCACTGACTACTCCTGACTCTACTCCAGACTTTACTCCCTACTCAACTCCCGACTACTCCCGACACTACTCCCGACTCTACTCCTGACTCTACACCTGACTACTCCCAACTCTACTCCCTACTCTACTCCTGACTACTCCCAACACTACTCCCGACTCTACTCCAGACTCTTCTCCGTGAGTCTACTCCCAACTCTACT